CGACTATTTGAAAATTTGAAAGGAAGAATTCTCAAGAGTATCATCACATGGTCTGAAATGGGGCAACAAACCGCCCAGTCGAAAAAGGTCTATTGAAAAGAACACATTTGTTCCAAACTTTAACGTCAATGCTTCACCTGAGAATCCTTAATCTCAGTGATAACTTGAACGTCAAAGCACATTGTTTTTCCAAAGGGGAATGAAGGCGACTAATGGCGCTATGCTGATTAATAAACAAAGTGCTTTCTTCGTTGTAACTTATAGCATCGTCTATGTCAACAACTTTGGTGTGAGATTAAAGGAGAAAAGCTGTGTAGAAGTAAATTGAATCCGCCAGCCACAGGAACAGCTTGTGCTTCTGGTAAGGTGGGTAGGTAACTTGTTACTAAGTTGTCATGTATCCCGAAGGGCGGAGGGGGGCTACCTCCAGAAAAGTTGGGTGGGGGTGTGCGACCCACTTCCCAAAACCCTTACCCTATTTATGACCAAAATCTGCGTTTTTTGCTACCCTATTTATGACCTGACCAACAACTCGATAGCCTATTTATGACGTTGCGACTGACACAGTTGCTCCAAACATAAGTTATGAAGGGCTTTTGTTGACGGTCCAATTGATAATGATGAAAAAGTAGCTTCCTCTAAGAAACATGCCCAATTCAAGACTAGAGTGCTAAAACCATACCCTATTTATGTATTTTGTCCAGTTGAAAGTTTGAATCGTTGATTTAAGCGCTAAATTTGACAAACGAAACAAGCTTCACCTGAGGATCCTCAGTCTCAGTGACAACTTTAACGTCAATGCACATTCTTTTTCGACTATGGTATAAGGCAAAATACCAAAGTAAAACAGGTATAGAGTTGACAAAAACATTATAATCACACTTAGCCAATAATTACAAATACAGAAATATCACGATAAACAATTAAAACTCCAAAAAAATATTAAGAATACTGGTCTGCCAAGTGCGGGAAAAAGTGAGAAACTTTAGCCAGGATTTTTGATCGAAAAACTCGTTTGCTATGCTTGGGCAGAAAACTTTGTTTAACAATCAAAGCACTTTTCCCATTTCGCCCCGTTGTTTTCTTTCTTGTTCTTTCATGATAACGTATGATGTGTACAATAAACGCTGAATTGAATTCACGAGTTTTGGAAGGGGGTAAACAAATATGAAATTCAAGTCATTCAGGTGCTCGATGCAGAAGGAGATTTTTCTGTTAAAGCACGTGTTTAAAATACGAGACACGAAATTGTGCCACACCTCGAGTGTCAATGTCGGTTTAAAATAAGAGATGCAAAAGCCGAAGGCTAACATGAAGGAAATCTAGTTTACATTTAAACACTTTAGGTAGTCTAGTTGACATTTACTACATGTGAGGTACTCTCGTTTACATCTAATACATGTGAGGTAATCTACTTTGTATTTCACGATCCTAGTGGTGTATGTATGGAGAATGTGTGGATAACAGTACCATCCCTTTAAGAAGAGACGGTGGCTGGGGTCCCTGGACGAAATGGAGCAAATGTTCCCGAACCTGTGGAATGGGTGTTACTTCACAGAAAAGAAAGTGTGACTCACCAAGGTGAGCGGCATTTTAGTTCCATTTGTATAACTAGGTACAGATATATTAACCAACGACGACGTAGTGAAAATGACGTAGAAGAGTTTTTGACGAAACCTCGCATCAAGTACGTACAGCTAACTCGGCATGACACTTTGAAAGTGACCCTCCTTAGGGCATTTTAAAAATTAAACGAACTCATCTGTTTTTTTTATTTCAGCCCCTTGAACGGTGGCCGATATTGTGAAGGAGAATCCAGGAAATTTCGTACTTGTAATGTAAAGGTAAGGGAATGACTGAAGTGACTAGGTTATGTTTGCGCTAGTCTGCATACCTATTAGAATGTACTAAGCCTTAGTCAAACGGAATAAGATGAAATTGTTCAGTATCAACGGAATGGATTGAAACTGCTTAAAAAAGCGATCTAACTTGAAAGTTTCGTCGTTCAGACAAGCAGAAAGCGGGGAATGTGGGTGGGGTTACCCTGTCGCGCTCTGGTTAAACCCACGTTTTAAGGAAACATGCATGGTCTGACATTCCAAATAATCAGAAGAAACGTACTTCTACGAAAAAGCTTGTACAAACTGATGCAAAAATGAAGCACATGGCTCAAAGAACAAATTAACAATTCAAAAACAAAAAATTAAACCTCCCCTCGAAGCTTATCTCAATTTTCTAAGGCGTGAGTATTATTGCCGAATACACTACAAGCAATTTACAAAGGTATTTCGATGAAAGATGGCTTGTGTGCTAATCGATCTTTGTAGTAAGTAAATACATATTTTCATTTTTCAGCCATGCCCGCCAAGATCTAGGGATTTCCGAACTCTACAGTGTGAATCTTTCAACGGTATGAAATACAGAGGAGAGAACCACGACTGGGTCCCTGTTATAAGTGATGGTAAGCAAGTGCAACAACAAACTCACACATAAATCACACCAGAAATATTTGACCGAGGTGTTTTAAAAACTGTCTGCCCGGAAATGTTGCTTTACCTATTCAAATTTGTAAACAGTTATGAACTATATGGGTAACAATGATCGCCTTTCCAAAAAAACTGGCACGTCGGAGAAATGAAAACTAGAAATCCAGATTTCCAATCGTTATAAACATGTAGCAGGTTTACCGTGTCAAAAAATGCACGCAGTGCGTAATATATTCAGGTTTATCATCGGCTTTTATAAAGTCATGTAAAAAAATTATTTCTTTCTTTCCTCGTTTTAAGAAAGCTGTCGAGGTTTCCTCTTCCTAATGAAATTTATCGAACATGCATTAATTTGCAATTCGTAAGTGATATATAAAGTTGTTGTCCTTATCATTGCGCATTCTTGTTTCAGGCCAGCCATGCTCCCTATTCTGCAAACCAAGGGATCCTCAATACCGTTTCTCAGCGCAGCTCGCCGCTAAAGTTATAGATGGTACTCCATGCAGACCTGGCTCAATCGACATTTGCATAGATGGAAAGTGCCAGGTAAGGTAACATTTCCTCTCAAATGTTTGCTCAGAAAATTTACAGTACAGGAAAATGTTGACTCAAACAGCACGCCGCATCACCATAGTATTGGTACTAGCCGCTAAATTATTGACAGTTTGCGCGCGTTTTTTTGCACTGACGTACAGTGTGTATGGTCAATCGATCGCGACACTTGAAAACTGAGGGTACAGCTCAGCCTGATTTGAAATCATTTAGCTATGTCATCTCTACGGCTAGAGTGCAATTTTATGATTTTTCTACCACTTTCATTCACTAAGGAAAATTTTGCTTGTACTGAAAAGGTGTTTACCTATTCTCGTTCCCAGAGCCCACGTGTCTTTTGGTCAGCGCCAAGACACGGAGCTCTGGAATAATCAATTTCCAGACTCCAAGATTTTAGGAGTTCCGGTTTCACGGCGCATGCGTGCCTTGGTTTAAAACATGGCAATCTCGTTCCCAGAGCCCACGTGTCTTTTGGTCAGCGCCTGACCAAACGACACATGGGCTCTAGGAACGAGATTGGTGTTTACCGTAATGATCAGGTTCTCGACTCTCGAGGACCTGTAGACGTAAATTACATAAACTACGTAAAGGTCAAGAAAGACGAAAAGTTACAAAAATTAAAACTCGCTCCCTTCGTTTTAACCTGCCAAAGGAGACGATTTTTCAACTGTTCCTTCACGCCGCAAACGATTATTTCATAAGTATTTCCAGACAGTGTGAATTATTAGCACCCTCCTTTTGTTATGATTTTTCGTATTATCATACCTTCAAGTTTAATTTTGAAAATGTCCTTTATACACCAGGGTGTTGGTTGTGACCATAAGATTGGTTCAGGAGCAGAAGAGGATATCTGCGGCGTCTGCAAAGGAAACGGAACAACGTGTCGTACAGTGGAAGGGAGGTTTAATCAGCTAGCTGGATCAGGTACAGTCGCAACTGGTTAGATGTTTAACTTCTTACTCGAGTTCAGTGTAATTCATTCTTCATATTTTCTTCTATATTCGTTAGAATAGCAGAAATCTTATGATTTTAAAATTATGAGCAAGATTGACACTTAAGTAGAAATGCAGCCTCTTCCAGGCGTTACGTTAGTTGGGGCGAAGCCCGAAAAAACGGCGGAGCGAAATAAAGGAAAGAGAGGCTTGGTGCGCCGCGCTTCTCCACTTTCTTGTCGTGCGCCATTTCTCGCGCTGCGCCCCGACTGACTTTAAGCGTAGAAGAGGCTAGAAGAAATGTGGTGACCGTTAAATCCAGATTAAAACTTACAACTCAAAAAGACGTTTGTCTCGCAAAATTCAAAATGATGTCGACTAGCACTTACAACAGTCAACTACGACGGGATAAGGGAAAAATATACATATTAGTCAAATTAACTTACTTACCCCATCTTCAGAAAGCACACTAGGGCAAACACATCTCGAGTATTCTGCTGTAAGTAAGAGATCACTTCCTTCTTTCCTCAGGTTACGTGGAAGCTGCTGTCATCCCTGAGGGAGCAAGGAGTATAAGCATAAGCGAGTCAAAACCGTGCACGAGTTTTCTTGGTAAGGATTCATTCAAATTGTGTAAATTTTCTTCCCAACACGAGCAATGCAATCTCAGTAACACAGTTTTGTACGTTGTAAAGACAAATGAAAGGCTAAACCATAAGTATTCCAAACTCAAAAGTAAAATAAAGTAAAGTCGAAGTACAGTAATACCCTTACGTAGTTGTCGATTGATATAACTTTCTCATTGTCAGATCACATAAGAAGACCAAGAAACTTAATTGCTGACACAGATTCAGTGAATAGCTAATGAGCTTGAGGCAGTTTGCACAAATTTTTCTCCATTCTCTACGCCTTCCAGTCAGTAGTTTTCTGTGCTTTTCAAATTCCTGGACTTTGTACTATCCCTGTAAAAAGCAATCTGTTATTCCTTCAATATGTTTGGAAAAAGACTAGAGTAACATAGTTCTCCTCATACGCAGCTCTCAGGGCAGACGCCGGAACTTACTATATTAATGGTAATTGGAGAATTCAACTTCCCGGTGACGTCAACGCCGACGGAACTATATTCCGGTACATGCGAAAAGGAACCTTGGAGAAGATCATAGCGCGCGGGCCGACCAATGCTCCCTTGCACATAATGGTGAGTTTTGCTTGTGAAATACTATGCTAGTTTCTACACAGTTAGAGTACAAAAATGGTTTCAGTATGGCCACCCAATGATAGGCCACCCGAAGAGCATCTTGCCCACGGCTCACGACCTCGCAAAGACTTTGTAAGCGCGATCTGACGGCATGTGACAGAAAACTAACAGGCCTAGAGCCCGTTGCTGCAGACAAACAGTCAAGACGTGCTCAGGAGCGAGAGGAAGAGGGAGGAGCTGTGGAAAGAAAGACGAGAACGCAGACGGCAGAGGGTAGCATCACCCACAGAGTTGTTTGTAGGAACTGTAACTAGGTCTGCCTTTCCAGGATAGGATTGTACAGACACAGAAAGACGAGCAGGTGCTGAAGCCCCACAAGAGACTGAAACCATGCATTGTGTATATTCCATTGCCTCCCGAGACAGACGGAAACCAACACCTTTACACAGGATTTACACCTTCTTTGTTTCTTACAGGTGCTTTACTATGGCTTTAACCTTGGAGTGGAGTATCGATACGCTGTACCACTTCACGACACCAACAAAAAAAAAGATGAGAAGAAACATCGTCTACTCCACGAAGCCTCGTACGGATGGGTTCATGGAGGCTGGGGCAAATGTAACGTGCACTGCGGAGGAGGTAAACATTTAGAAAGGATTTCAGTCACATGCGGACTCTAAAATTCAAAGCTCAACCGACAAATGCGTTTTCGCCACCGTCAATCAAATGTTCGGCGGCTCCTCCCAGCTTCCGACTATGTTGTCTGAACTGTGCTCAACGATTTGATTTGATCACCGCGCGCTGGGCAGTAGTCGGAAGCTGGGAAAAACCGTCAAACATTTGATTGACGGTAGCGAAAAATGCATTTGTCTGTTGAGCTTTGAATTTTAGATTCCGCATGTGATTGAAAGGCGCAGTAATACTCCTAACGCCTCTGGCGGCAATATGTTGAAAAATGTCAAGAAAATGACAAGAAATTCCTTCAGTACTACAAACCGCTAGCACAGAGAAGATGCTGGATAAATATTAGCCAAAATATGGCCAGGTTTATCGGTTTTTCCACGGACCCTACACCGCAACTAATAACCATCAGGGCAACACATACTGCACTCGGTTCGTTCGTGCAAGGAACAGCTCAACTGAAAACGAAAACTTCATTTCACCAAGCTTCAAATGCAAAGAAGGACAACCGAGGGGTATTAAAATTACTGTTTTGTACAAGATGGGTGATTCAAGATCACGTAACAATGGGCCATTTCCGAGTTGTCTTTTGCCTCTCTGTCAAAACGAGTCTTCCTGCGAAACCATTCATATGAAACTGTGTTTCCCCTAAAGGTTCATTCTCATGCAAATCACACTCATTTTCATATGAAAGGTTTTGCACGAGGACTCGGTTTGAAACAGAGGCACAAGGTAACTCGGAAATGGCCTATTCAACAGGAATTGGTTTCTTCTATCCAACTTCAGCCTTTCCCTTACCCAAAAGCAGGTCGACATTTTAATGTATTTTTAATATATTTTAACGTATTTTTTATTTCCTATTTGACAAATA